AGGGAGAGAGGGAGGGAGGGAGGGAGAGAGAGAAAGAGAGAGAGAGAGAAAGAAAGAGAGAAAGAGAGAGAGAGAGAAAGAGAAAAACATCGACATGATAGAGACACAACGATCGGTTGCCTTCCCTGCAGGAGCCCCAACCAGGGCAGGGGATGGAGCCTGCAACCCAGGTAGGTGCCCTTGACTGGAATCGAACTTGGGACCCTTCAGTCCTTGGGTCAATACTCTAACCTGTGAGCCAAACCGGCTAGGGCTGAGCTGGTGGTTTTTTTTTGTTTTTCTTTTTTTTTTTAAATCCTCATCTGAGGATATTTTTTCCATTGCTTTACAGAGAGAATGGAAGGGAGAGAGAGAGAGAAACATCAATGTGAGAGAGACACATTGATTGGTTGCCTCCTGCACATGCCCCAACTCATCCGGGGCCAGGAATCCAGCCTGCAACCTAGGTACATGCCCTTGGCCAGAATTGAACCTGGATCCCTTCAGTCCAAGGGCCAACGCTCTAACCACTGAGCCAGACTGGCTAGGGCTGAGCTGGTGTTTTAATATTCTATAATAGTGTGCACATTTCTTAGGAGTAATCTTATACAGCTTTGGATTGTATTTGTTTTGTAACTATTTGTTATTTACTTCTGTTTTGTCATAGTGAAACATTATAGTCACTGGAGAACATGAAGAATGGTAAATGCTCTCAGTATTTTAACTGCCTGTATTATGTTAGTACAATATTGTATTGTGAGTAGTTTTATACAATTAAATAGATGTAAAGTTACTTGAACAACAACTCTAAAATAAAAAATGCTAACATGTATCCTGAAATTGAGGCAGTACCTGTATTGATTTCTTGTGAGGACCATTGTGGACCAGTCAGGAAAAATATTTTCCTTTTTCTAGCTACACTTGAACTATCAATTATATCCCACACTTAAAGTTAGGCAGCAGTGTGTTAAAATGTAATGCACTCTTTTTTAAAGATCGAAGTGGTGACTCAGTGTATTAAAGACACCCTAACATTTCTTTTCTTTCAGCTCATATGTTAGATTTGATATAATTCGGAGGATCCTAACCCGGGTTTTTGGATGCAACATCATCATGGTGATGGGAATTACGGATGTGGATGATAAGATCATTAAAAGGGCCAATGAAGTAAGTGTTGAAGATTATATGGGTTGGTAATTTGATTGGTGAGTGTTCTGAGCTCTATGTGACAGTTTTTCTTATTTGTGTTTCGCAAGTACTTTTCCCATCTTACTGTCCACGCCTGGCCCAATGGGTATTCTTTGACAGGTAATCAGAGGCATCTTTTTGTCCTGGTGAAGGAAGTTCTGGTCTATTTGATTTTGGTCCCTGAAGCCTTTGATGAATTGCCTCATTCTGTGGAGGACTCCTGACTTGAATCTGTAATCTCTTCCCTGGTCCCTCAGCCTCAGAGATAAATACCTTACTTCCTCTTTACAGAGGAAGTCAAAAGGCCACTTTTGGGCTAGGGAAATTTAGCTCGCATAAGGTTTAATTTTCTCATTTGTTAAGAATGAACAGGGCACTTCTTTTATATCTCACATGACATTTAAAGGAAGTTTCAGGTGGGAGAATTCTAATGAAGAGTTAAATTAATAGTTATATATGGATAGTTATATTTTTTAAAGTCCACTTTTAAAGTTTCACCTTTTCTGCTTTTTATTTTTATTTAATTAATTTAAATATGTTTTATTGATTTTTAGAGAGAGAGGAGGAGAGAGAGAGATAGAAACATCGATGAGAGAGAAACATGAAACATCGACATTGATCGTCTGCCTCCTGCACCCCCCCCCCCCCCCCCCCCCCCCCCC